TCAAAAAAGAAAATCTAAGCACTGATCTGGTCGGTCCGGTCAGCTTCAGCGGGACGCGACGGGCAGGAAGCCTGCGGCCGGGGAAGCTCCGAAGGTAAATGCAGCTCTGTTCCGCTTCCCTTTCCGCGCCGATGCCAACTCGGATAGCGGATAGGTCCGGCAGGGTTTTACCCTCACCCCGTGCCCTGTAGGGCTCCTCCGGCTCTCCTTCGCTCTCCTCTGGCTCTCCACCCTGCTTGCTCCTTGGGCACACGCAGTCCCACACCTCCCTGACCCCCTCACCTTCCCCATGGCCAGGGAATGCTGCTGCCCAGCCATCACTCACTACCCCACAGCACCCACACTGTCCTCTACCTCGAACCCGGGGTGTCCCCAACCCCAAGACGTGGGAAATGGGATCCACTGCTGCCCATTAGCTAGTGCTCCTCCTTCCTTCTTTCACTCCCTCCCTTCAGCAGCCCTGGCACCCACTTCCCTGTGGGCATCCAGTGCCATGTCATGCCCTGGAGGTAGAGGTCTGGGGGGGGGTTTGGGGGCCTCCCCACACTCCCTGGCCAGGCTGCAGCTTGTTGGATCTTCCCTATTCCGACCATCAAAAGGAAAGGATTTAGGAGGGACACATCCGGGCAGGAGTGAGTAGAGCCAGAGCATGCTGACAGGCAAAGCCAGTCTCACACTGTCCCGCTGAGCATTCCCCATCCCTTCTCCATACAAATCCATGTGGGCTGGCTCACCTCCACCTCCTGCTCTTCCTTCCCTGGCTATGGAGAAAGCCAGTTACTTCTTTAGGTACAAACCATTTCCAGCAGGTCAAGCTGAACCCATAACATGTGTTCCTCACATCCCATGACCCCCTGATTCACCCCAGGCCTGGTACTGGGCTGTGCAAGGGAGCACTGTGCCTCCATCTCTGCTCACAGCCATCCAGCACAGCACACCTTCCTTCCCCTTCCACAACAGCAGACACAGCTTGTCCCAGGCCAAGCCCAGCCCAACAGCCCTGCTCCCACCCAAAAACAGGGTGCAGCCCAGGGCACCAAAGCTCCAGGGCAAAGAGGCAGCCAGAAAAGCCTTTCATCCCTCCTGGCCCACACAGTTACACTGGGGTGGAAACACCATGATGTCCCTGAGACTCACACCTGAGCCCTGGCACCCACATCACCCACACCAGAGCTCTGCGGGTGTTTGGGGGTGGAGGAGCCCAACCTTCCCAGGCTCTGCTCTGCTGTCTGCTCTCAGTGTCCACCTCTTCCCATGGGGCCCTTGCAGTGACACTGCTACCAATGGTGTGACACCTGTCCCAGGGTCCCATGGGGAGCAAATGCTCCCCACTTGCCTGCACATGTGGCATTCATGCAGCTGTGCCAATCCCTAGGCACACCATGGGGACACACTGAGGCACCTGCTCCACATCTCCATAAACAAACCAGGGCTGTTAATTAGCAAGTTCAAGGGCACCTTGATCCTGCAGCCCTGGCAGGGTGTTGGCAGTTGAAAGGGGTCCTGCTGAGCCCCACCAAGGCTGTGGTTTCCTGGGAAGGTGCTGCACATCCTGTGACAGAGCTCGTTTATGCTCAGGTTTGGGCTGAAGCTGCACTTTTTACACCCCACAGCCCCTGGCTGGTCATTGATCACCTCCTGCCCGTACATTCATGGCTGGGAAAGCCAGGCTGGGAGTCAGTGCCACGCAGGAGGGCAGGTGACACAATGAGCCATGGGTGGGACAGGGCTTTGGCTTTACCGCAGAGCAGCACCTGCCACCTCCAGCCCGAATGGCTGCAGGGAGCGCTGGGGACAGCCAGGAAGTCCCTGTGCCAGCACTCCCAGAGCCATTCCTGGTCTGTCCCAGGCCCAGCCCGCCCTGCACCGGAGGCAGCTGGACTTTGCCCCCCCGGAAGACGCTGCGCGGGGCCCGCGGTGATGCCGGTGGTGCCCACGCCCAGCACCGGCACCTGAGCACACCATGGCAGGTAGGCTGTGAGATCCACATCTCTGCTGGGAAGGGTCCCTGTGTGGACATGGCTGGGGGTCCTGCTCCAGCTTCACCTCCCCGGGGCCCTCCCAGCCCCCAAACCGGCTACCCCCTCGCTGAACAGCCACGAGTGCCACTGGCTGCCAGCCCCTGCAGCATGGCTTGTTTTTCCGGGATGGCTGAGACAGTCACCTGTCTAGGGGGGAGCTTTCCCATCCGAATCCCCTCCCCGCTGTGCCCCCAGAGCTTTGCAGTGTGCCCCCCGAAATCCTGGTCCCAGCTGCCAATGAGACGCTGGACCTGACCTTGGGGAGCCAAGTGGAGCTGAACTGCACCGTGCGCTGGGTGGGCGCTGAGCACTGCCAGCCTGTCCCTGCCTGGAGCAAGGACGGCCAGTGGCTGGGCAGGGGGAGCAGCCAGAACACCGCCTGGTAAGGAGCCTGCCCTGGAGACATGTGTCTGTTGGGGTGGGTCACCTCAGCCCCACCCACAGTGGCCGTATCTCCCTACAGGTTTGCCCAAAACACCTCAGAGCAGCTCCTGGCCAGTGTCCTGCAGCTCAACCTCACCCATGATGATGACTTTGGGGTGTTTGCCTGCTGGTTCAGCAACACCACAGCCACATTCACCCTGCGGCAAGCAGGTAGGGCCATGCTGGGGACAGGGAGGGGACACCCCCATGCCCAAGGCAGGAACAGTGGCCCCAGGGGATTTGAAGGCAGGTGTTAGGGGCATTGCTGACTCTCCAAGAGTAGCCCATCAGAGTGGGAACCTACACCAAACGCAGAAAACCCAGGCCAGGGCCACCAGCCACACTCACAGTGTCCTTCCCTGTCCTCACAGAGGCGGCAGGGCACGTGCCTGCGGTGCTGGCAGCCTTTCTGGTCCTAACATTCCTGGTGTTCCTGGCCGTGCTCTATGTCCGGTGCCGCCTGAACGTGCTCCTGTGGTACCGGAACCGCTACGGCGAGCTGGAGATCAATGGTGAGCTGCAGGGCACGAGAGGTTGTACCTCCCTAGGAACAGCCTCCCTGGGCTGGGGGCTCACAGACCCCTCCCCATGTCCCCCCCGGCCCTGTGGCTGTCCCTAGATGGGAAGCTGTATGATGCCTACGTGTCCCACGCTGCTGCCCCTGATGACCGCAAGTTTGTCCACTTCATCATGAAGCCACAGCTGGAGAACCGCCATGGCTACAAACTCTTCCTGGATGAACAGAACATCCTGCCCAACTCAGGTAGGCACCAGCCACACAGAGGGCTGGGCAGGGGGTGGCGCAGGTCCCTGGGGGCTTGAGACCCCTTTGCCCACAGAGCCGTCAGCCGACCTGATCATGAACGTCAGCCGCTGCCGGCGCCTCATCGTGGTCCTCTCTGTCGCATACCTGGAGCAGGATTGGTGCAACAGCAGCTTCAGGTAGGAGTGAAGCAGCTCCCATGGGAGAGAAGAGGGGCTGGTGTGTTCCTTGCCCTCCTGCCACGCACCTGTCTCACAGGGAAGGGCTCTGGAGGCTGCTGGAGCTTTCCAGGAAACCCATCTTCATCGTGTTTGAGAGCCAGTACCGGGAGATCACCCACCCTGCCATCACCCTGCTGAAGCAGCACCTCCGCTCCGTGACCCTGCTGCTGTGGCGAGCTGGCTCCATGGTGAGTGCCCAGCAGGATCCCAACCCACAAGCACCCCAATTCCACTCCCAGCACCCTGCTTTGTCTCAGCCTCCCCACCACGCTCCGGGGCTGTTCCATGGTGAGATCCAAGCAGGATCCTGACCCACCAGCAGCCTCTTCCCTCCACAACACCTCAATTTGTGTCAGCCTCCCCACGGCACTCTGGGGCTGCAGTGCACCTGAAAAGCAGGTCATGGCACTCATCTTTCAGAGGCAATTTCAAACCCCAACCAGAACAGCCCTGGCTGTGGGTGCTCATCCCCCAAACCCATGTGCTCAGGGCTCTGTGACGCTCTGGGGTCTCCCCAGCCACAGCTCTCAGCACGGAGCTTTGGCCCAGGGCCTCTCTGGCCCTTTCAGGGCCAGGCTGGGAGCCAGAGCCTTGGGGAGGGCTCCAGCAGGTCAGGCCGGTTTCTCTGCAGGCACACTGCCACGCCAGAGCTCAGCCTTCACCTTGGCTGAGCTCCCAGTGCCAAGAAGAGCAAGCTGAGCCCATGGAACCCTCTCCAGCACTGTGCAGAGCCAGGCTCAGCTTCACAGTGGCCCTGGTGCGACTCATCTCCTCCCTATCCCTGCAGACCCCATCATCAGACTTCTGGAAGGAGCTGTGCCTGGCCCTGCCACGCAAGGTATTCTTCCAGGGGGCTGTGGGGGACCCACAGACCCAGCTGCAGGAGGACAAGGACCCCATGCTGATCCTGCACAGCAGCTACCTGGACAGTGGGGGAGACCTCGACCCGGACGGGGACCTCGGCACAGGTCCGTGTCCCCTGCTGCTTCCCCTGTGGGGACAGATGTGCACTGGAGGTCACCTCCCTCTCCCTGGCAGCAGGCTGGGTCCAGCCCTTTCCCCCCACCTAAACCCCTCTCCCTGCTCGTGCCAGGGCTCCGAGGACGCGCGTTCGGGAGCCCC